GTGCGCTGGATTTTGTGCATTGTATGTATGTATATGTACATATATATATTACAAGGCTGAAAGAAACAATTCATGTAGTTTTTTTTTAGTGTAGGGAACATGCATTTGCAGTAGATGGCAGCAGAACTACATATGTTACAATTATTTTTAAAATGGCCATATGATGGTACTGAATCCCATAATTGTTTGCTGAGAGGTCATTTTAAGTAGCCTTGTAAAATTGAAAACTATATTTTTATGTGCGCTTTACCTTAATCTGTATTTTGTAACAATTATTTTATCACGTCCAAGATACCCTTGTTCATTTTAACTGTTTTACCCAAATGGATTTAAATGTGCAAACTTCAAATACAGGCTACTAGACCAGCTTTTTAATCTATGAAGATAGATGTTTTTAATTTCTAGAGAACCATTACTTCATTGCAAATACACCATGGGAGCTCTGCAATTAAATGTTTATACTTTCAGAATATCTATATGTATCTATATGTTTAGGTTGCATGACCAATTTTTATTTTCTTATTTGTTTGATTCTCTCTATGTACTGGTAATGTAAAACCACTATTTAAAAAAAATAAAATATATATATATATATATATACCGAAAAGATTGAGAGCATGTGATTTATTTATTATTTTTTGGGGATGAGTGCCAGAAACTGTTGAAATTTTTATATATATATACATTTGTGTTAGGTGCTTAAGATAGTACAGTGTGAAATACCATGAATAAGCGTAGGATGATAAAAGGAGCAAGTCGGTTGTGGTGTGCCGAAACCGACGATGAGGTAGGCCTGAGAAAGAAGAGGGCCCACCCAGGAAAAGAAATAGAAAGGAAAATAAATGTTAAAAGTGGTGTGGTGGGAGGGTCATTCAACGCTGACCTCGAACGGTAAGGAGCCAGGCAAGGGGAGTGCCTTAAGTAGGCTAGGGGTAGAAAACCAGCACCTCCCACAAATGCAGGCAAATTGCCTTAATACTTGTGTTAGGTGCTTAAGATAGTACAGTGTGAAATACCATGAATAAGCGTAGGATGATAAAAGGAGCAAGTCGGTTGTGGTGTGCCGAAACCGACGATGAGGTAGGCCTGAGAAAGAAGAGGGCAAAAATTAAGTAATCCAATTTATTAACAGACAACCAATACATATGCATTTATCAACCAGACATGTTTATGAAAGCATCTCTTAACTCTTGTACTGGGTTCGGTATGTACCGTGAGTAAGCGGATGACTTCCAGCGCCCCAGTGTTTTGATAACATGAGTTGGGACGTTGAAACTGGAGGCTGTGGACGCGGCTCCTATACGAAAGGAGTGTCCTGAGTAATTGTTTGCGTTGAGGCCCAGTTGTGTGAGCAAGGACCTGACGTAGGTCATGAAGGTTGTAGTGGTGAGTACTGCACCTTGTAGTTGTAATAACGTTTGCGAGGGCAGTAAGTGATGGTGCTGTATGTAGGCATCAAGAACTTTTACGGGACACCATCTGTTGTGCGTGGGGTAGTACGGAATGTTTACAGGTATGTGCTGGCTGGTTTTGGAGTGAGGTAAAGACAGGATGTAATGATCCATATGTTTTGTCAAGTGGGACTAGAGGAGGAATGGAGTGGTTTGGGTCGTGGAGGTCGTAGTGAATTCTCTGGGTCGTAGAAATCCATAGAAAGCGATGTATATTGCTGTTTTGATGATAGAATTCGTATTAGTGTCAAACGGTTTCAGGTCGAGTAGGTTAGATAAAGCTTTGAAGATATGGTTATCTATGGGTGGCCTCTGGGCCAAATGTGTGGGTTCTGATTTTTGAATACCTCTGAGTATGGTCTTAATTTGGTGAGAGGCCATGAAACTGTTGTTATTTGGGTGTAAGATGAGCATGTGGTGTTGAATGCCAGTGAGATAGAGTTTGATGGTGTTATATGACAATTTGAGTTTAAGGTGGCAAAAGGAAGCAAACCCCAAAAAAGATGTCATAACAAACGGTTGTATGATGTTATGTTCCAGAAGGAATCGTTTGAATAGTGTGAAAGCCCTGCTGTATGTTTTGTTTGTATTGTTTGAAAGTGCCAACTGGGACAATGTCCTGCTATGCTGCATGATGACGCCTAGTCCAGTATGAGTTGTTGAAATGTTGGAGTGATGGTGGCTGTGGGTGCTGCTGACGGGAGTGCTTGATGAAACTCCTGAAATTTAAAGCGAGACAAACTGTCAGCAGCTGTGTTGTATACACCTGGCACATGGAAACAACATAGGAAGAAATTATGACAAGCTGCCAACCAAGTGAGTTTCCTCAGAAATCTCATAATCGTAAGAGATTTGGAATGACCTTTGTTGATGATGTGACAGGTCGCCTGGTTGTCTGAGTAACAACGCACTGGCGTATTAGCCCATAAATGACCCCACGCTACTGCAGCCGCCACTATGGGGTAGATCTCAAAAAGAGCTGAGGTAGTGGAAAAACCTTCCAAATCCAGAACTGCTGAAGGCCAGCTGCCCCAAAGCCATTCGTTCCCCAAAATTGCTGCAAAACCAGTGGTAGATGCCGCATCTGACCAAATGGTAGGAGATGATTCAGTCAATTGAGGGAGGAACATACTTTTACCATTCCAAGTGGTTAAAACCTCTTCCACATGTTTAGATCTGCCGTAGCTTGGGCATCTAAGGACAACCTGTGCGTGTCATGTAGAAAAAGTGAGAAAAGATGCAATAGTCGTGAAATAAAGGAGCGGCCTTGAGGTATGATGCGCATTGCAAAATTTAGTGACCCCAGCAGGGAC